GGCCCATGACAAGCAACTGCAGAAGATGAAGAGCCTGACAAATACAATTTTGCTCTTTGTTATGAAGTTGCTTGGGAAAGTTTCATAATTAACCACCCCACACAAAGCTATTTCAAGTCTCATTCTAACTGTATTTGTGGTATTAGGGACTGCTGAAAGAACAGACTCATTTGCCAAGCATTTAATAACAAAATTCCAACCTTGTGACACAAGCCTAGAAACTAAGCATTATTCAACATAAAACCCTCAATTCCAGTAAGAGTGTCACTATTTGATTGTGCCTGAGATTTTTACAGACACAACACTTCACACGTTAATCGAAAGTACTGTAGAGAGGCCCAGTGAAGTAAGGGATGTATTCAGAGATCAATCACACATTCTCATGGACATACAGTGAAGAGGAATTTTTGAGGCTGGGAAAAATAAGGTTTTAAAAATAATCAGTTACCCAACATGTCTTTTGATAATGTATCTCTTTAAAGAGCCTTTTTAGGAAAGGCTGAATATTTGGTGTCAGGACCAAGTGCTCAATGATTTGCAGTAGCGATTCCTTATGGATCCTCTAATCCAGTGGTTCTCAATGCCGGTCTGCCGCTTGTTCAGGGAAAGCCCCTGGCGCGCCGGACCGGTTTGTTTACCTGCCACGTCCGCAGGTTCGGCCGATTGCGGCTCCCACTGGCCGTGGTTCACTGCTCCAGGCCAATGGGGGCTGCGGGAAGGGTGGCCAGCATGTCCCTTGGCCCGCACTGCTTCCCGCAGCCCCCATTGGCCCAGAGCGGCGAACCGCGCCAGTGGGAGCCGTGATCGGCTGAACCTCCAGACGCGGCAGGTAAACAAACCAGTTGCTTGTTCACACCATTCCAAAGCACTTGTAGGGTTTAGTGCAATGAGGTGCATGGACAATATAGACACTCCTGGGTGCCTTTAATAATAGCCTCGGTACAGATGTGTGCTACATATGCTTTCTACATACTTTTAGCTCACGTCTTCATGTTTAATGTTACCTGTGTTTGGCTATCATAGAATATCAGGGTTGGAAGGGACTTCAGGAGATCATCCAAAGCACTTGTAAGGTTTAGTGCAATGAGGTGCACAAACAATATAGACACTCCTGGATGCCCTTAATAATAGCCTCGGTATAGATGTGTGCTACATATGCTTTCTACATACTTTTAGCACACGTCTTCTAATTTAATGTTACCTGTGTTTGGCTATCATAGAAACACAGAATATCAGGGTTTAACACATCCACTGCTTTCCCCTCATCCACAGAGCCAGTTATCTCGTCATAGAAGGCAATTAGATTAGTCAGGCATGACTTGCCCTTGGTGAATCCATGTTGACTGTTCCTGATCACTTTCCTCTCCTCTAAGTGCTTCAGAATTGATTCCTTGAGGACCTACTCCATGATTTTTCCAGGGACTAAGGTGAGGCTGACTGGACTGTAGTTCCCAGGATCATCCTTCTTCGCTTTTTTAAAGATGGGCACGACATTAGCCTTTTTCCAGTCATCCGGGACCTCCCACGATCGCCATGAGATTTCAAGATAATGGCCAATGGCTCTGCAATCACATCCGCCAACTCCTTTAGCACTCTCGGATGCAGTGCATCCGACCCCATGGACTTGTGCTCATCCAGATTTTCTAAATAGTCCCGAACCACTTCTTTCTTCACAGATGGCTGGTCACCTCCTCCCCATGCTGCGCTGCCCAGTGCAGCAGTCTGGGAGCTGACCTTGTTCGTGAAGACAGAGGCAAAAAAACCATTGAATCCATTAGCTTTTTCCACATCCTCTGTCACTAGGTTGCCTCCCTCATTCAGTAAGGGGCCCTCACTTTCCTTGACTTTCTTCTTGTTGCTAACATACCTGAAGAAACCCTTCTTGTTACTCTTAACATCTCTTGCTAGCTGCACCTCCAGGTGTGATTTGGCCTTCCTGATTTCACTCCTGCAGGCCAGAGCAATATTTTTATACTCTTCTTATTGGTCATTTGTCCAATATTCCACTTCTTGTAAGCTTCTTTTTTGTGTTTAGGATCAGCAAGAATTTCACTCTTAAGCCAAGCTGGTCGCCTGCCATATTTACTATTCTTTCTACACATCGGGATGGTTTGTCCCTGTAACCTCAATAAGGATTCTTTAAAATACAGCCAGCTCTCCTGGACTCCTTTCCCTCTCATGTTATTCTCCCAGGGGATCCTGCCCATCAGTTCCCTGAGGTTGTCAAAGTCTGCTTTTCTGAAGTCCAGGGTCCGTATTCTGCTGCTCTCCTTTCTACCCTGTGTCAGGATCCTGAACTCTACCATCTCATGTTCACTGCCTCCCAGGTTCCCATCCACTTTTGTTTCCCCTACTAATTCTTCCCGGTTTGTGACCAGCAGGTCAAGAAGAGCTCTGCCCCTAGTTGGTTCCTCCAGTACTTGCACCAGGAAATTGTCCCCTACACTTTCCAAAAACTTCCTGGATTGTCTGTGCACCGCTGTATTGCTCTCCCAGCAGATATCAGGGTGATTGAAGTCTTCCATGAGAACCAGGGCCCGTGATCTAGTAACTTACGTTAGTTGCTGGAAAAAAGCCTCATCCACCTCACCCCCCTGGTCCGGTGATCTGGAGCAGATTCCCACCACGACATCACCCTTGTTGCTCACGCTTCTAAACTTAATCCAGAGACACTCAGGTTTTTCTGCAGTTTCATAGTGGAGCTCTGAGCAGTCATACTGCTCTCTTACATACAATGCAACTCCCCCACCTTTTCTGCCCTGCCTGTTCTTCCTGAACAGTTTATATCCACCCATGACAGTGCTCCAGTGATGTGAGTTATCCCACCAAGTCTCTGTTATTCCAATCACATCATAATTCCTTGACTGTGCCAAGACTTCCAGTTCTCCCTGCTTGTTTCCCAGGCTTCTTGCATTTGTGTACAGGTACTTGAGATAGCATGTTTTTTGTCCTGCTTTCTTAGTATGAGGCAGGAGCCCTCCCTTTTTGCGTTCTCCTCGTGCTTCCTCCCGGTATCCCACGTCCCCACTTACCTCAGGGCTTTGGCCTCCTTCTCCCGGTGAACCTAGTTTAAAGCCCTCCTCACTAGGTTAGCCAGCCTGCTTGCGAAGATACTCTTCCCTCCTTTGTTAGGTGGAGCCCGTCTCTGCCTAGCACTCCTCCTTCTTGGAACACCATCCTATGGTCAAAGAATCTAAAGCCTTCTCTCTGACACCACCTATGTAGCCATTCGTTGACTTCCACGATTCGACGGTCTCTACCCAGGCCTTTTCCTTCCACGGGGAGGATGGACAAGAACACCACTTGTGCCTCAAACTCCTTTATCCTTCTTCCCAGAGCCTCGTAGTCTGCAGTGATCCACTCAAGGTCATTCTTAGCAGTATCATTGGTGCCCACGTGGAGAAGCAGGAAGGGGTAGCGATCCGAGGGCTTGAATAAAGATGTTAAACAAAACCGGCCCCAGGACCGATCCCTGGGGCACTCTACTTGATACTGGCTGCCAACTAGACATCGAACCGTTGATCACTACCTGTTGAGCCCGACAATCTAGCCAGTTTTCTATCCACCTTATAGTCCATTCATCCAATCCATACTTTTTTAACTTGCGGTCAAGAATACTGTGGGAGACCATATTAAAAGCTTTGCTAAAGTCAAGATATATCACATCCACCAGTTTCCCCATATCCACAGAAGAGCATAGCTGTCCCCCAGAAAGCCTGTGAAGTAGCAAAGGTCATATTCAGCCCGATGAGAATTGTGTGAAAAGCTTTTACCGAAACCTGAGTAAATACTAAAGACTGCCATTGTTGCTTTACCTACTCCTTGAGGGATATGGATCTCTAGCTGGGAAGCCTTGAAATAGTGGTTACTATAAATGAATCTGCAATCTGATTTTTAACAACACTGATCAGTTACTGGCCTTTCAGTAACAATAGCCCCATTAGAAACTCAGAAATGGTACCTTTTGAGTTTACTTACAAGAGTAGTTATTCCCCTACCACCTGATAACGTCCATCACCAGCTGGAATACAGAGCAATCAGTCTGCTCACAAATGTATGGCTCTTTAAGAAAGACTGATGCTTAAGTAAACTGATCCCAGCGTGAGTCAGGGGCTGGATCAACGTTTAGCCATGGTGCAATCCTGTTCCAGTGCACTCCGGATTTAAACTACATTCCATGGATTTACTGGTAGTCATCAAAAGAGAGAAAACCTTATCCTTTGGGCTAAGTTTGCAACCAAGATTTATTCAGTAATAGTCATAGACCAAAAAAAAAAATTGTAGCCAATATTTAAGACAGAAAAAAAAATCCATCATTTGCTTTATCCAAAAACCACTAAAACAATGCTGCAGTTTTCACAAGACCCATAGAAAGCTTGGGGTTCCAAATGAGTGTGCCACCCTACAACCTTCCTGAAAAGGTCTAAACTATGGAAATACACCATCATTTCAGCCACGCAAGACTAGCTGTACCCCGAGTATGACACCTTGAGAACAACTAGAAGCTGTGAAACAACCATATCCATCCATCACATAGGTTCATCTCATTAGTGACCACTCCATAATTGCTACACACATCGCCTCAAATCCCATGAAAGACACTTCCATTCAGTAATGACACTTGGAGATTAAGTGAAGCTTCCACATGAATTAGGAGCTAGAGTAACCAAAACAGTTTAGAAAACATCTGTAAAGAAGGGAGTAACCAGGAAAAAAAACAAGCTTTGTATCTTTGAAACTCCTTGTGTGATTCATCCCAGACTTTCCAGACAACTTCTACCCTGGAATGAATTGTGGCATATACAATTTCTGGTAGATTGGTTTTTTTCCCAGTAAAACAAGGGATTTTTGAAAAAAATCAGACTTAAAAAGGTAAACTAGCTTCAACTTCAACTGTGGACTAGCACTCCTCCCCTAACTCAAGAACCAAACGCTGAACCATCATGACCTTTACCACCACCCCATTTACCAGTTCAATAATGAATGTGTGTTGCACTTACCCTACGAAAAGATACCACGTAGAATGTATCCCTCCTTCTGTGAATAGCTTCAAAGAAGTCTTGGTAATTTCTCGGAGAGGCATAATACACCTGCAACTCATTCCCTGAGTTCCTGCTGAAATAGAGAGGGGAGTTAAGAACCTTAAGTGAGATACCATCTTTAAGGGCCAGATTTTCAAAGAGCTCAGCATGCAGCAGCTCCAATTGTCTTCTGGTTCTTGTGTGATACAGATTATGAACACATGGGCATATAATAAGGGCTGCTGGATGCCAATCTCTTTTGAAAATCTGGCATTAAGAACATTTATATGAACATTAGGTAAGAGTAAACCAGAGGCAGGAATAAGAACAGAATTTAGGAATCCTAGCTACTACTCTTCTGCAAGTCTAGATTTACATATTATCACGGGTCTGGGGATAAGAGTTCTCTTCAGCATGTTTAAAATATTCTGGGCAAAAATACCTGCTTGCCTGACTCTCACAGAATTGCCTCACTGCTCTCGTAGGACAGTGAGAAATTCCCATGACATGTTGCTACCAAAATTTTTCCCTAATAGGTATTTTAAGAAGTAAATATGTTCTCTAATTTGAGGGTCTGATTTATACAATTCATTGGATTTCAGCATAATTTAACTTTCAAGAAGTTCTACTTTAGTGGCATACCATCTGCTTGCAGTATTTGCTGTGGTAATACCATAGCATATTGGCACAAAGCAGTACTGCACTCTATCAGCAGATACCATTGTCTTGGATTTTCAGATGATGGCCTTGCTTTTACTGACCCAGTTTAAAATGCAGTGGAAGCAAGGGTTAGTCTGGTTTTATATTTCTGAAGGGTACTACTTATGCAGCTCAGGGCACAAACACATGACAAAGTGACCTCTCTGCTGCGATACTATGTGGCACCACCTCCTGCTGCTAGCAACGGCTAGTACTGTTGCTGCGGTGGCAGCACTACAATTGCTAGCCTAGCAGGATCCCAGCCTGTCAGAGGGCTGGCTGAAGATTCGGAGATAAGAAAGTGCTGTGGCCTTAACATATTAAATCCATGGTGTGGAGGTTAATTTCCCAGGCAGGGTATGTTGGTTTTTTTAAACAAACCTCTAGAAATATTATTTTTGATAGTGGGGGAAGGATGGGATGGCACAGGAGCTAGGAGCAAGAAGTGGCAGCGTTTTAAAGTATAAAGTGGGTGGTCCCCCCTTTCAATCGGAATGAAGGTGTAAGCAAATAATAATAATTAATATCAAATAGCAATAAGCAGCGGGCACAATAGGACCATGACACTAACACTGAGACATAGTATCAGTCTTACCATATAAAAGACATCACAAACATATTATACAATAAAACACATTGAAAAGAGAAAATATATTCCTCAAAAGAAACAGGTTCAGCAGTTCCTCACAAAACATACTATATCTAGATCAGAAATAGAATAAACACTCTTCAAACTCTGGACCAAGCTCTTCATTAGCCTCTGATCCAAAACCCAGTAGAATCCGTGGGACCTTTCCAACGCTCTGCTGGTAGAGGTTTTCCATGGAACCATGCTAGAACAGATGTCAGATTCTAAGTAACCCCAGTGGATTAACCCCCTGCCTTTCAGCATTTAAGTGTGCACAGTGAGGGCTGCTGAACAAGAGCAAAGGAAAGTCAAAAGAAGTCTGGAGATAGAGGCAACACTACCCATTGCTATAGTAATAGATTACCATATTACTGAAAAGCACCTTATTACATTGTATATCCAAATGCCAAGCACCTTGGAATTTTCAGAACCTGCACATTACTTTTACTGAATCAGACCTTACATTGAAAGGAAAGCAGCATTTCTTTTTAATGTCTAAAATGTGCTCAGTTATCACAGGCCACCACCCCTATAGAAGGTGATTATATTTATGATAAATCCATGCCATGAAGGGATGAGGACTCTGATACATTGGTGTATGTACTGACTGCACAAATACACCTTTTACTAGCATGTAGTAGAGGAAGAGGGGGAAAATCCATAAAGCCCTTTATTATCTGATATCCTTTCCCCTGTGTATGTGCTTATAGATCCTCATCAAGTCACCTCTTAACCTTCTCTTGAACAAGCTGAAAAGACTGAGTTTTTTCAGTCTCTCACTGTAAGACAAGTTTTCCAGACTGGAATCATCATTGTGGCTCTTCTCTGAATCCCTTCCAATTTGGCAACTTCCTTTTTAAAGTGGGAACGGAGTATGCCACTACTCATCTCACCAGTGTTCTATACAGAAGTATAAATCATTGCTTTCTCCTGCTTGATATTCCCTCGGCCATGCATCCTTTGATCATGTTAGTCATTTCAGCCACAGCATCACAGGGAGAGCTCACATTCACGTAGTTCCCAGACTGTACGGTCCTTTTCAGTCACTGCTTTCCATATGAATTCCTTTGGAGTAGAGGGCAGCCATTCCCATGACTGAGAGTGACAGAGACCAGCATTACCCCTGATAGCAGACACGAAGGAACCTGCAATGAAAGTTCCTGATCTGGATAGGCAGGGAAGCCATATGGCCATCCCACATACAAGGCTTCCATGGTTCCATGCCAGGAGTACCCAGGATTTTCCATGCATCTGTAGAGAGATTTTAGATATACTACAGTTCCCCACAGGCTGTGCCTCCTGGGCAATACAAATACAATAGAGCAGAGCAAGGGAAATCTCTCATCTTCTCTCTTATTGTCCTGTCTGGAACACATGCTTTATTTCACTATGACTTAGTGCATCCAGTTGTTGGAGGCTTGGGAGAGAAAAGAAACCTGCTCTTTGGGATCTTATCAATTCCAGGACACAGACACTTCTCCTTCCCCGGACATCTCCTGGAGGGGTTAGGACCAAGGTAAAAGGCAGCTTGGCAGTGTCTACACCTAGTCAAGGTCTCCACAGAAAAGGCATGGATTTCTTTGGTCCACTCACTACCACGCACAAAGGCAGAGCTGCCTCCTGAACAACACTCCTGGATGAGGATCTTAGAGCATCCAAGGAAGCTCCAATATATAAGAGGCTGCCAGGGTGATCTTATGCAGTACAGACTTGACTCATTATTAGGTTCATTCTCATCATTTGTCTAAGCCAGACGGCCTTCTGAGGGTCTCGGAAAAGATGTATACTTGAAGGACGATAGTTAAAGCTTCATACATTTTTTGAGGCATGCCTAAATACGTATTGGTTTGGTGTTCAGGAAAATAGTAGGCCTGTGTCTACTGTGTAAGGAATTTGGAGAGTCTTATTTATCTTCAGGGAAACGACAGAACTTGGGAGCCTGTTTTTCAGAATATCTGTCTGTAGCTGGTTCTTCCCATTCAGATTGATCCTGATTTCAAACAAGGAATGCAAAGGAAAGAACATAGCTTTCTTAGTCTCATTTTGAGCCTCCCCCCCCCAAAAGGTCCATCCTCCATTCTGACCTTTCTTGTTCTCCTTCGTCTGCTGGGCTTGGAGTCCCCGTGTAACAGAGACCCTTTTAAACATCACCTCCAAGAATTCAAGAGGGACTAGTCTACTGGGTCTCATTCCTCCATCTCTTCCTTGGGAGTTATGGTGGGGTGCCCCTTTAAGGGACAGTCTGGTGCTTACAGCCAAAATAGGTTGGGTGCAATCAAGGAGCCCTCTCTGGGGCTAGGCTATATGAACAGAACATGGAAGCTGAGTGAGGGAGAGAAGGGACCTGAAGTCATGCTGGCTGCTATGGGTTGCAGAACACCTTGGACTCCAGATCGCTAGCCTGTTAACACAACAGTGGCCTCACCGCCTCCTTGACTGAACCTCTGAGCTTCAGCCCTCCTGCTTCACCCATGAGCTCTGTTCAGCAAGTCCAACTAAGACAGACTCCCTCTTGAGACTTGTCCACTCTTCAGGAATTAATGCACCTCAGCAAGTATTCGCAGTGACTCAAACAACACTGTCAAACAGTAGCCTATATTAGTCCACTAGAACACAGCACAGGATGCCCATTGGTTAGCACAGAGAAATGAAGGCTAAAGCATAGTCCATTCTGGTCAGCTCAGAGCCCAGCCACACTGTAGTGAACTCATGTTCAGGCTTTGTGTGTGTTTCTCTTCATATCATCATCTTAGTTCCCAAGTGGGAGCCCCTCCAGCTTCCTCCAGAATCCAACACTTATCCCCCACCTCACACCTTCCAGTCCTTTGTTCTCAAGCTGGGGGTCTATGCTCAGCTTCCCTGCTGAGAGGTGGGAAAAATCCCTTCCTCACTGGGTCACCGGTTGCTAGGTGTCAATGTCCTGGTGATTGGGTTTTCCACTGTCTTCTCAGAATGGCCTCGGTCGGTCCTTTTTAATTACCCATTTTGGCTCAGACACCAAGGTGACACACATGCATGTATATCTCTCAGCCTGCCCTGAGAGCAAGCTTATTCCTTTTTCCCCACTGGGTAGTCATGCAAAATATCAGTGAAACCGAGGCACACACAGACTTCATAAAAATATTACAGAAAATTCCCACTTTGTCATATCTTTTCCTCCTTCGACAGCAAACCGAGGAGGGTCACTTTACCCAGTGACCTGAGGAAGTTCAAACCCACAATTGTTATCCACAGATGACCCAGCATATTTCTCATCACCTTGGTAGCTGTTCTACCAGGCACTTTCATGATTCTTACAGCAAGTTTCTAATCAGTCAAACTTACTGTTTCCAATACATCGTTCAGAGCAGTTTCATATCTTCCCTTTCAAAAATTCTGTCACATAATTCGCTCTCTGAGCCTGAACTGCTGGCTGCTTTCTTGGCTGCACAGAGTATGTGTCTGTCTCTCTATCCCGGGCAAACCTTACTTCATCAATTCTTAGGCATTATGCCCTGTTTTCCACAAACGTTGCATCTCAGGTCTTTACAATCCCTTAGCAGTGGCTACTGGGGTCAGCTGCTCCCCCCACTGTGGGTGTACCTGAATCCTACTTCTCGGGTACCTCTACTGGTTCCCTATCCCAGGACAGATGCTTAGACCAGTCCCCATTGGGTCTCTTTTCATACTCAGACCAACTGTCCATCTGCCAACCAGCTTGTATTACATAGCTCCTTAGGCTTCCTGTCCACTAACTACATTTTAAGCTCATGGGAACACATCTGAGA